ACATTATTGCCTCTGCATTGGATTATTATCGGATAAGGTAATAATAACTTCATGATTAACTACGACTGAAAGCAGAAGTCTAGGGCAAATAATTGCAAGTCTCTTCAGCGAGAATGTCACAAAATGATTTAAAAAGAAAAGCCAAATTCTGGAAAAAAAGTCACAATAAAAATAAATAAGTGACATTTTGAAAAAAAAAGTCAAATTATGAGAAAAAAGTCAAATTTGAGATGCATTGTGCTCCATGTAGGGGCAACGTGCCTCTGTAAATCGCCATGTAACCGTATAATAAACATATATATATTCTTTGCAAGCTCTTGTGGGGCCACATAAAATGAAGTCGTGGGCCGGATTTGGCCCCTGGGCCTTGAGTTTGACACCCCTGGTTTACAGAGTCATTACAGAAAACATGAACATTTTACTTGGGTAAATCTTGGTGAAATGGTACAGTACCTGTCGTCAGAGCCCTCGTCGTGCAGCAGCCTTTCCTTGTTCAGTCCAATCTTCTCCAACTCATGAGTGAGTTTCTCCAGATCATTATGCATCTGCTGAGTCCGCAGCTTCTCACTCACAAGCTCCTAAAACACACACACATTTAGGAACTCTCGAATTCCGCTACTTGGCATTTATTCATAGATTACAAAAAAAGAGGATGTATGATGCTAATGGAGGAATAAACACTGAGAAAACAAGTTTTGGTTTCCAGGGTTATCATTAAAGGTGGGGTAGGTCATTTTGGAGAAATCAGCTCGAGTGCGCTAGAATTTTAAAATACACAGCCACTTCCTTACAGAGCCCCTCCTCCAACACACACGAACGCGAACACATGACCAATGAGGGCACGAGATAAGTTTGTGCACAGATGGAAGGCTGACAGGCAGGTAGGCCATCCAGTTATTTTAGCCGGGCAGGCTCAGATGATTGGTCGTGCTTTTTACAGTACTACAGCTTCCACAGATTTCATTTATTAATGGATTTGTTGTCAAAGCACTTCAGATATTCATTGCTATCGGGATGTTAAGAGCATTCCATGGAATATAACAAAAAGTGTATCTCGAGCCGGTTTCTCAAACTTACCTACCCCACCTTTAAATGACTAATAATTTACATTAATAATCATCCATGTTGAGTGTTTTCCAAGTGTAATCTACTTGATTTAACAAGAGGACAATTTCAATAGATTCCAACTAAACCAGAATTTAGTATAAAAATATAAAAAAATAAGCAATTGTAGACAAAGGATTATGACCTCAATCCTGAAGCAAGCAAGTAAGCATGAACTAATATTTGAAGATTTCTATTCTGACCTCTCTGAGGTTGTTGAGGGTCTTCTTATCGATGTTGCTTATTTTGACCAGCTCCTTGTTTTCCCTCTCCAGGTCTTTGACTCTCGTGCACGAGTCCCTGAAGAAGATCATCTCCTTCCCCATCGTCCGATTCTCTTTCTCCAAGGTGACGATGCGCTGGTTGTCGTCGTCCAGCTTGGAGTCTCGGATCTCGGCCTGCTGCCTCAGCCGCTTGTTCTCCTTCTCCAGGTACTTCTTGTCTTTCTCCAGCTGGCAGCTCTCCTGCTCCAGACACTTGTTCTGAGGGATAATGGAGCGTAATGCAGAGGAGACGGATCAGTGATGCGATTCACTTCTAAATGCCTTGTAAACACACATTTGGCTAAAAGTGAAACAGATTAATTGAGAGGGCCAAAAATCAATGTTGACAAATAATCTGGGATAATCTCAGACTGTTGGGAAACATGCTTTTCACCAGGGGGAGCTAAATGAGCGGCAGTACTGCCCAGGTGCCAAATAACAGACTTTAACATGTAAAACATTTTAGACTGCTGCATCACAAACACTCCCCCTCGCTGCCTCAACTACGGTTTTGGGACAATCTGATTGACCTCATTCTATCCGTCCTAAAAAAGCCACTGAAGTTGTGTCAGTAAATAACCTACAGCTTTCCCATTTGATGTTGTTTCTGCTCTGCTCGGGGGAAAAGTGCCTTGGAAAACATGTATAATAATTTGTGTATAATTTCTTAACACTGACTCGAAGCTTTGCCTGCCATTTCCCACACTTCAGCTCAGAGACGCTGCTGAATGGTTCTGTTTTGTTTGTTTGTTTTGCCTACCTCCTGCTCCAGCTGCTCCAGGCGCTTGCTGGAGATCTTGAGCTCCTCCAGGTTGCGTTGGAGGCTTTGATTCTCAGTCTCCACCTCCTGCAGCTCAACCTCCAACTGTAGAATCTTCTTGCTGCTGTTCTCTAAAGCCTTCTGCAGGCGCTGGTTCTCTGTATCTAGGCCCTGGTAACTCACCTGGGAGAGGAAAAGGCAGATCAGGATATTAAAAGCATTCATGAACTAATTGCGCTGCTCCCCGATGCCATTATATGCCAGATTCTGTTAGAACTTAGCTGTGAAAGATCATTTGTTATTGAAAGTAATTTACAAAAGTGTACAGTAACTTTACTGCTGATCATCTGCTTGACCTTGTGTAAGGACAGTTGTCTTTGGTCACTTTTACATTCGGATTGAACACACAAGCAGCAGTCTGCCTTTTATTTCTCAAAGAAAGCTTCTTACAACAAACAATAACATTTGAGCTGCTCTCCAGTGACAGAAATACCCGCCGTATCTCTGGCAGCGCTGAAGTCTCACCTCTAATCTCTCCGTCTTTTTGGACGAGGCTTTGAGCAGCTCCAGGCTGCGCTTCAGCTGGCTCCTCTCGCTCTCCAGCTCCCTGTTTTCTGCCTCCAGCTGAGCGGCCTTTGCTCCCGATGACCGGAGACTCTCCGCCATGCGCCGAACCTCCAGGTTTTCATGCTCCAGCTGGGAGTTTTCCTTTTCCAGAGCCTCCAGCTGGAAGGCCATGTTCTTCAGAGTATCCAGCTTCTTCTTCAGACGACGGCCCTCGGCCTCCAGCTCTGAGTTCTCCTTCTCCAAAGAACACACCTACACACACGTAAAAAAGATGATTGATAACAGTGAGTAGAGCTTTATGTCAGTCAACACTAAGCTGGTCATGTGGATGTGTTAGCAGCCAAAAACTCTACTTCATTCAATGCATTAGCACAGCTTTACATGTATTATAGGGTTATGCTTTAATGGTTAATATAAACTCACTACAGATGTTGCTATCGTATACAATTCCATGTAATACAGGAGTTACACAAATTTGAAATTTGAAACCTCAAATGTGTCTTCTTAGGTAGGCTGACAGGTATACCCAATATTCAGAGAAACTTATTCAAATTCAACTCTAAATAAAGGGTTCTAATTATGCACCAGATAAATACATATATCATATGTTAAAATGAGAGTTAACAATTAATTTTCCATGTTACAAATATATTGAATTACTTATTCTGGAGAGTCATTTATATTCCACATGCGATCGGATAATATGTAACAACTGTTCTCAAAGTTAAACCATGTGGGTCAACTGACTCTTACTGATTAACAAAGCAATCAGACACAGTGACATAATACAAAACAAGGCAGAACACTAAATGCACCGCACCTTTTCACAGGTGATTGTAAGACTGGAAATCTTCTTCTGCAGGCTCTCCTTGTCCTTCTCCAGCTTCTGAGTCTGGATCTCCAGCTCTTCTGCTCTCTCTCCTTTCTCCTTCACCACTTCAAGCTCCTTTCCTGCATTGATAGAGTACAAACAACAACAGTGTTGATCCTGTGAATTCCTACTGACAAAACAAGGACCTTGATGTATGGAAAAGAAACCTTTTAAAATCATATGATATTAATGCACTCACGTAGTTGTTTCCTTTCAAACTCCATCTTATTGAGTTTGGCGGTGGTCTCGCAGATGGACTCGTGGAGAACTCGATTCTCTTTCTCCACGTCCTTCACCCGGGCCTCAGCTCCGACCTGGGAGCGCTGACGCAGAGACGACACCGTCTGACCCAGGTGTTTGTTCTCCTGCTCCAGACCCTTCAGCTGGAGCACAGGCAGCAGAGGTTACATCAGGAACACAGGTTATGTTTAAGGTGATTGATACGAGTGAAAAATGTTCCGTGACTTTATTTGAAAATAATTCAGCTTGTGGCGATATGAGCTGCTGCTTGGAGAGAGATTAAAGACTTAAAAGAGGCTCTGCTTGAAATATTCCGACGATGACGAACTAAAAAAGATCCGAATTAAAAAGTATCATGCGGCAGCTTTTGAAGATAATTAAAAACAATAGTTTATTTGCATATTATGTCTTCCGGGAACGGCCAACTGGATGAATTGCCAACGGTAATCTGTGAGCGCGGCGGGTTGCGTTTTCTCTGCCTCATCAAAACCGTATTTTACAAATCAGATGGTTAAACTCATCAAAGGTGTCAGATTCGGGTCTAACGGCTACAAAGTCCCCGCAGACACACAGCGTGCGCCTGCATCTAGGGCAGTTCCACTTTATAGTTTTTTGAGCCAAATGCAGATAAATTGCATAAGGAATGCTCTCAGGAAAACTCTGCAAAGACTTCAGTACATTATTCTGCTTAGTCATTTTCTTGGAGCTTCCTGGAAAAAGAATCAATGATGGTTTTGTAGAGCGAGCAGCGTGTATGACGCACAGTCTCAAAGCCCTGTTTGTCTGAGTGTTCAACTATATGTTTGTTCTGTATACAGACTGAAACGTAACTATTTAAAAGAACATGAATGCTTAATGTGATAATAATCATTCTTAGAAAATCGCCTAATCAGTGAATAATTATTCAGCAAAAATAATTCAGTCAGGGAAAAAGGCCTGCACGTAATTACCACTTGAAAATAAACAAACTGGTTTTCGGAGGAACTTTCCAAATTAAGTCATGGTGTGTGTGTGTGTGTGTGTGTGTGTGTGTGTGTGTGTGTGTGTGTGTGTGTGTGTGTGTGTGTGTGTGTGTACCTGTCTCTCAGAGTTTTCCCTGAGTGTTTCCAGAGTGTTCTCCAGTAAAGCCTTCTCCTTCATCAGGTCAGTACTGAGAGACTCTGCGCTGCGGAGCGAGTCTCGGTCTGAGGTCAGTTCACTCACCAACTGCTCCAGCTGTAAACAATTATTAAAGTAACATTTTAAAACAGATTCACTAACTTCATTTGGTTTTAGTTTTCTGATTGTTGTGCATGGACACACTGGCTCTGTAATGACTATCACGTGTTTACACGGGACTCCCAGTCACAAAGAAGCTTGTACAATTATTAATCCATGATACAAACATATCATATATATACCACACACACACACACACACACACACACACACACACACACACACACACACACACACACACACACACACACACACACACACACACACACACACACACACACACACGACCATTTCTCTTGTTCAACTCTAACAGGAGCTGCATTCACATTTAATGTGTTTTGGCTTAGGACCTTGAGTCACTCGAAATAAATGTCTCACTCTGGGTTTTCCCTTTGTGAGAAAACACAATTTCATGCTTTTTTATCCCGAAGGCACAGAGAGAGACTTATGTTTCTGAAAATAGCTGAGAGGCTTCTCTTAGCGAGGGCCATTTGGATGTCAAGACTGGAAAAGAGAAGGCAATGCGGGGCTCTCTGGATTTATAGCTTTGCTTTCAGCCTCCTATTCACCCCTCTCTATATGCTCTCCTACCTTCTCTTTTCTTATTTCTTACTGTCGCTGTGTGAAAAGGCCTAAAAAGTCAAGTGTTAGGTGATATATTATAGAGGACTGCTGGTCCAATATGCTAATCTTAGTGGGGGTTCCTGAGGAGGGGCAGTACATTACACCATGGCTGTAATTTAATTGAAACAATTATTATTTAACAAAATACTAACAACGACTCCCTAAACTTGTTTTCTCTTATTGATTATGAAAGTACATGCCTACAACCTTTAAATAACAAAGCTTAACGTATATCAAGTTGTGAAATTATTTATTTTGTATCATCTGCAAAAAGTACAAGCAGCATTATTTAAGAGCCATATGGGAGATCACTGATGTACATTTTAAAAAGCATTGGACCAAGAAAGAAGCCTTGAAGCACCCCTCTCAGAATAGTATCGAAAACAATCTTGACATAATGATGGATGTCTTTGCTGCAAGTGACCAAAACAATCTAAAGATTAAACTGTTTTGGAAAGGACATTTTAGTATATCTGTGTTTATAAATGTCCCATTTTGTCAAACAAGCATTACAAATGAAAACCACCTATATACAAAGTCCAATTTCTTACTTTGTGGTTCAGCCTCTGGTTCTCCTGACTGGCTTTGGACAGTTTGGTCACGGTGTCCTGACTGGCTGCTCCTCTCAGCTCCTCCACAGTCTTCAGCAGGCTCTGGTTGTCTTTCTCCAGCTTCAACAGGCGGCTGGAGGTCAGCTCATTCACCTCCTCGCCCAGAGACTTCTGAGGGGCTGAGGCAATAACAGCAAGAAAAGTGGATTATGCAATGAGTTTAAGACAGATGTGCGTAAAAGACTGTCTAATATGGTCAGTACATATTCTACTCATATTCTACTATTCTAAGGGAAATGAATAAAAGCAGTGTGCAAAAGAAAAGGCCCTCTCTGGAATCAGTTTAAGACTTAGTGTTTCACAGATATGATCGCAGTGTGTCTGAGCTTGAACAGGAAAAGGAAATGCAGCCAAAAAGAAGCAGTAGCTTAACAAAACATTAACAAACAGACAAGAGACTAGGGCTGCTCGATTGTGGCAAAAAACATAATCTCGATTATTTGGGTCAATAATTGATATCACGATTATTAAAAATTTACTTTGAAAACATCAATTTATTGGAGAAAAAAAACGTGAACACTATGTTTTTAACAGTTGATTACTCTGAACTTTAAGTATAATTCAAATGAAAAACCAATAATAAAAATTAAATAGTTTGATTACGTTGTTTTCGTAATCGTTGCAAGCCATAATCGTAATTGCGATTAAAATACGATTAATTGAGCAGCCCTATAAGAGACCACTGTGGGAACAATTAAGTAAGCCCCCCCGGCTCTGACCTGGTGTTCTTCTGACACACACAATCAATGATTTAACACATATACATTAAAGTTGTGTTAAGATTGTTGTTGTTCAAAGGCAAAATCAAAGAAAAATAAGTCGGTCAAAAATAAATGAATACAAAGCTGTATGATTTAACTTCACAAGTCTTAAGCCTTCAAAGTGACATTTTAACAAACACACAACACAGAGTCTTTATCCGATCCCTGGCCAGTTAAACCTCTTAAAAGCTTTTATGATCCTGACGCACAGATTATCCTCCAAGAGCCACTGAATATTAATTACAGGTCTTAACCAAGTGGAAAGAAGACCCAGTGGAGGCTGGCATATGCAAAATGGTCATTGGGATGAATCCAGGGAAAGGAGCCAAGGAGCAAAACCTGCTGGCCTTCTGGAGCCTTAAGCATGACCCACGTTGATCTATGTAATCCTTGTTCTCATTCTCTGGCGTTAACAGGTTCCTTGGCTCCATATTCTCCTTACCTTCGGTGAGATCTGGGGTCTTGGACAGTTGCTCCAGCTCCCAGCCCAGGTGCAGGGACTCGTCCATGCTCTGTTTCTGAGCCATCTCCAGCACCAGGTTCTCCTCCAGCAGCTCCTCCATGCGTTTACGGTCCATGTCCCGTTCCTGGAGATAACAGAGAGATTAATGGTGTGTTCAGATAATTGTAATGTATATTTTAACTGTACTATGTATTATTTGATTGACCTGTACTTAAATTATGTTTTATAATTGTTTGTGTGATAGAGATTATGCAATGTTTTTAGTGTTTGTTGATTGTTATGTACCTACCTAAGGACTGCAGATGGAAATTAGCTATTAGCTCAAATCTAGCATAATTAATCTCTTCTCTTTTCTGAGATTAATGTATTTGTATGCATGGTCCTTGTTGAAATAAATACATAATAATAATAATAAACAAACGTTGAACACTCGACTGCGGAAAGGACTGCTCCATTCCCTTATTCTCTACTACTGATTTTCTTTTCCTCCCATGATGACCCTGATATATTTTTAAACCCAGGCTCTTATACCCTCTGTGAAAACCAGAATCTCACCATCTCCAGGTCATGGATCTTGGAATTCAGCTGCAGACTCTCTTTCTCCAGGAGGTGCAGTTTGTCGGAGCGCTGCCGGCTAGCATCCAGCTGCTCCTCCAACATGCTCTTAGTTTCCAACATGACCTGGTTGTCCTCCTTCAGCTCCTACAGAAACCACCACATCAGCAGAGAGTACACGTTAAACAACAAAACATACACACTGCGGCTAGTAAAAGAAATCGTTTTGAAGATGACCTCTGAAGTTTATTATGTATGTATCCGTACTACGACTAGAATCAGTAATAACAGTATTTAAAGTAACAGTATGAGCAGTAGCGGAAATAAGCAGAAAATACAGGGGTGGGTAGAATAATTTAGTTAGTCAAATTTACAAATATAGAGTTGATATTCACATGGTGTAGATACTATTCGTGCATGGTCAGCAAACAGTTGCAAAAACATCCCCTTGATAATTCAAATAAATACATATTTATGGGTAAAAACCTTTAATTTTTTTATTTATGAACTGAAAAACACTTTCATCATGAGATTATGCAGTGTGGAGAGTAGCTGGTGTCTTGCATTTGTATCTAATGTTGCTTATGTGCGGTTAATATGACGTGATATGAAGTCAAATTGACTTGCATATTTATTTTATGTCGACTAAATTAAGCTTAAGTGTCCTGGGGTTGTCTTTTCCTAATTTTATTCTCAGTAGCAACATTCTTCTTGTGTGCAGTGAGATGAAGTACCTTGGTCATTATATTTCTGATGATCTTACAGATGACAAAGACATCCATAGACAACGCTGCAAACTGTATGCCCAGGCAAACATATTAATGCGGACATTTCACAAGTGCTCTGTAGATGTCAAGGTATCACTTTTTAAAGCTTTCTGTACACGACTCACCTGTGGAGTAACTACAAGGCTAAAGGCATACAAAAACTAAAAGTTGCATACAGTGATGCTTTACGGTTGCTGCTGAGGGTACCAAGATGGCACAGTGCCAGCCAGCTGTTTGTTAACTTGGGGGTACCTACTTGTCAAGCCCTTTTAAGAAAGTTAATGTACAAATTCATGTGTCGCCTAGAACAGTGATTCTCAAATGGGGGTACGCGGACCCCTAGGGGTACGTTGGGGTACTGCAGGGGGTACGTGAGATAAAAAAAATACCATGCATGATTACTTCTTAGTACAATAAGTGAGATAGAAAANACAATTGTATATAACATATTTATAGAACCACCAAGGGGGTCCTCATATAAACATGTCAAATTTGTGTATTGTATTTTATAGTTTTTCATAATATATCATTTTTTCATTGGTTTGTTAAACATATTACTTCAATTGAAAAACTCCTTGGAAAAATCGTTATGTATGTGTTCCTTTTTTTCATGCACAAAGATGACAAAATCATTTTGTTGTAATTCATGCATGAAGGAGTTAATATATCACACACTGATGGAACATCACTATATTGTAATTATGTATAGGCTTTTTCTATCAAAAATGTTGGGGGTCGTTCAGGGGGTACTCGGCTGAGAAAATGTTTCAAAGGGGGTACATTACTGGAAAAAGTTTGAGAAGCACTGGCCTAGAAGACTCGGACAATCATGTTATCTCGATTTTAATTAACCCTGTGAAGAGTTCTACTCGGTTCTCTTCCATGATTTGGAGACATTGGCGCAATAGCCTGTAAAGACAGTGAGCATGTGTGGCTAGCTGTGATTGGACTGATTTTAGGTTTCTTATCTGTTTGTTTTTATTTGTTTTGTGTCTAGCTTTTTATCTTATTTATTGATGTGTGTCTTGTCTTTTTGTATGTGATATGGACCTTGAGTCTGAAATAAAGATTGAATTAACAAACACCATCCTCTTGGCTTAAAGTAATGCTTCACGTGCGCAGTGTGTACCTCGACTCTGGCCTTGTAAAACTCGATGTCGTGAAGTCTCTCCCTGTACCGGCTCAGCTCGCTCTCTAGCTTGTCGACACGGATCGCCTTCTCTCTGAGCGCGTCCAGCTCGTCGCGGTAGGCCCGAGCCGACCGAGCGTCCGACAGCAACTGGTAGCTCTGCAGGAGCCAAATTCACAGTATGAACATGTGGAAACGATGACTCATACCAGCATATCTTAGTATAGCATGCACAGATATATACGAGCCATTAGTGAAAAGCAACAGATGCTTTTACAAGTGAGTGGACTGTAATATTGTATGACAGGTAGATAATCTATGAGCAACTAAGTCTTGCCTGTTACATAAACAGATAAAAGGTCAGAACAAACTCTCCACGCTATTAATTATCAAAAGCACGCTTCCCCCTCACACACACACACACACATTAACACTAACTCCCTGAACTCATCCACCTTTTTTACAGCATATACTTTGTTAGCCTGCCAGTCAGCCTGCCGCCTCCTCCTTCAAATCAAAAGCCATAGGAGGCTGTTTCGAGACTAAAGATAGCTGTAATAGCCTCTAATGAGCTAAGTCACTAGCTCGCTGATTAAGTCTGGCAGCAGTGCTGAAACAAAGTACTTTGAAAGAGGAGGGTTCAGCAGGTGAAGGCGAGATCAGGTCATATTAATGTGTGTGTGTTGTTTAGGTGTGTGAGGATTTGTGACATGTGGTGTTACCTCTTGCTGAAGCTTCTTAAGCTCGCCTTCACTGTTATCCAGCTCCTGCCTGGTGTCCAAAAGCTGCTCGCTCTTCTCCTCTCTGAAAAAGAAGGATAGGGGGAATTAAACAAGGAGAAAAATAGAAAGAGGTCGGAGATTGTGTCCTAGATAGAGGAAGGATAGAAGGAATTCTAGAAAGTACTTTCTGTTTGGTTTGCCTGTATGCATGCTTCCCAATTAAATACCAACACGGACAATCCTTTAGGGCTGTTTCCATTTCAAAGCTTGCTACTAAATCCTTAAGTAGAAGGGACCCATTGACATAGTTATTGAATAGTTATATTAACCATAAACTGCCTTAATATCATCAACATTGTGTCTTCATTTTTCAAAATGTAAGAGATTAATTGTAGGTAGTTTTATCATTGTAATAAACGGTACCATTTTTGTTAAAAAGAACGGTACCATTTTTGTTAAAAAGAAAGAAAGGAGGCTACTCAATACAAAAACAACTGTTAGTATTTCAAAAGGCAACATCACATTAGGCATAATAGACCATTGTCGAAGTTATACAAATAGCTCACATGTTTATTTTAAGACTTCAATAAAACACATTTTCATCTAAAAATAGCCGATTGTGTCCGGTGAGTTTGAGCTGTGATGGTCAGGACACAAAGTCTTTCCTGTGTCCTGCCCTGAATTCAGCTACTAATAAACAAACTATTTCACCCCCAGCATCACACACACCATGACAACCAGAGAGGGGAAAGACAGCCGTTAAAGTCAACTGAAGAAAAGATAGTACCCTGTGACTACTTCAGGGGTAAACTTATGCAAATCCACCCCTGAGGCTCAAAGCCCTCATCTTCCTTTACTCTGGATAAACTTCTACAGTCAGATAAGATCATAGGTGTAGTGACGCAAGTTTTACATCTGGTTGTCCAAGTTGTACAAAACTGAGAATCAAAAGTGTCAGTCTTTCACCCTTAATAATAGGTTCTGCTATTTGCTATCCAACACTGTCCTGCGTCCGTGTGTTTAAGTGACAGTGAGATAGGGAAGCCTGACATTTGCTGTCTCTACGAGTTTGTGTGTGGGTGTGTGCAAATTCTCCAGGCTTCTACCATAGGGGCAGAGTGTGTCACACTGCTCTGAAGAAAAAAGGACTGCATTCCTGAGATGCTGTCTTGTGTTTTCCCATAAAACCGCTCCACTGAACATCTGATGGAGTATTTGATTGCAGCTCTCTGGAGACTCGGGGTGCTTCTCAATAAGGAAATGACACCTTTTCTTCCCTCGTTACTTTCATTTCACTCCCACTTCCTCCCACAGCTGAGGGTATTTAGGGAAATAGAGTCAACATGCAGGAAGGATGTTCCTTTACCCATTTCTGTGTTTGTGTCTTAAGTTCACCCCCTCCCCCTCTTGCAGCCTCTCCCCGTCTTCCCCCAAAAACTCCAGTTACTGAAATCACAAACACCTGTCAACTCCAGCATGGCAGATTAGCTTTGGGCTCATATTATGGATGCAGCTGGCTCTGATGCTTATGTTAATGGAAAGCACAGACAAACAATTGCATGCATTGTTGTGTTTGAAAAGAAGAGCAGCAAACAGCAAAACGTATTCCTTGTCTACTACATGTCTAAATGGTATGCCTCCTACCCTAATCCTAATGTTTTTATTATACACATGTTTGGCCCTCTATACCCAAGATGCCTAAAATGTGAAATGATTATAACAAATGCGTTTGTAAGCTATTAAATATGACCTGAACAGCAAATATATAACTTTCCATGTGGAACTTTTGTCTACAGAATACACAAATCTACAAACACAGCTTTTGTGATCAACATTACCACATTTCCTCTGTAATATTTTTTAATTGTTTCTTAACTAAAACAGTATGTCAAGGAACAGCAGATTGTAAATAAATAAACACCACAGAAAATGAAGAATAAACAAATCTATCTTTTATATATCCAACTTTTAAAGAAATAAATAACCTTTAATTAATTGATTACTCCTGCAGGACCATGTGTTGGTTGAGTAAGAATTACGATAGAGTGGACTGTTTAATTCAGTAAAGAAGAAAACACCAATTACAGCATAAAAGCACATTCACTCAGAGAGGATTAGGATAATTAGGATTTTTAGCAGGTAATAATCAACTGGTATTCAAGTTGTATTGGCTTGTTGGCCACAAACTCACATGGGCTATTAGTAACAGAAGATAGGGGATTATTTGCTACAATCTGCTATTCCATTTTTTAGTAAGTCAGTTTCTTATCCATTTACATTTTACATAGAGAGATGTGTAACTGGCATTTAGAGGAGAAAACTGAACACTATAAACTTAATGAGGATATGATTTATTACCGGACTGTAGTATTAGACTGCATTAGTTGAAGCTAGATGTGCATTACAGACTGTCTAATATGCTCAGTACATAGGGGGACTATTCTAAGGGAAATTAATAAAAGGAATCAGGTTGAGACTGAGTGTTTCACAGATATGATCGCAGTGTGTCTGAGCTTGAACAGGAAAAGGAAATGCAGCCAAAAAGAGGCAGTAGCTTAACAAAAACATTAACAAACAGACCAGAGACCACTGTGGGAACAATTAAGCAACCCCCCCCGGCTCTGACCTGGTGTTCTTCCGACACACACACATAAGACCACACACATCTACATTTGAATGAGGAGACAATATCTGTTTATGTTCACTGAGACACATTAAACACTGTTCTCTGCTTATAGAAGAAACTGCCATCATGTGACCAGTGTCTGACAGCTTGGACTGACTTAAAGCCCTTGTTGTCCCTTTTTGTCTCTTGTCTGGCCCATCACATAAACAAGTAAACAATTCCATGGCAACCAACCCACAATTCAACTCATTGGCTAGTCGGGTGCTGTTTTGTTACCCTGTTTAGGTCCTAAGAAATTATGTAGGCCTAGCTCAAGGACGTTTAAGGGAAATGTCTACTGTGGTGAATGTCAAGAACCACCATTAATGAGTTCAGGCAATATGCAGTGTTTTCATGTGACTGAGCAGAGGGTGATCGGCACTCCTTCAGGGTTACAACCAAATGTTGAAAAAAACATAATTCTTGTTTGCATTAAGCAGTCACACATGCCACTGTTGGACAAAGACAGAAGAATATCTCCGACAGAATAATCAAAGACCTTTTCCACATCATTAAGATCATCAGGAGCGTGACTTGTTGAGAAACAACTTCAACATGTCAAGTTATAAATGGCTGTTTAATCTTGAAATCCGATTCACTCAAGAGACCAAATGACACCAAATAAAGTAGGAACCACGCATTATCAGATGGGAGACAGACCCTCATTAAATAGAGGATTAGTTTCAGTGGGGATTTATTGTGAAGAGGATAGACTGACTAAAACAACATCTCTTCATCTTACAGTTTCTGGCAAAGCATTCAGTATTGACTACTACCTCATGATGCCAGCCAGTCTGATAGATTAGATGTAATGCGTGTGCAACTTTTAAATACTTCCCCCTTTCTTGCTCCCTTTTTTCCAACTCATCCGTGTTTTACCATTAAGCCTTTGTCTGCCAAGGGATTATAGCACTTCGGAAAGGAAGCTGTATTATTCATGGGAAGAACTTAAGAGGCCTCACCAGGGTCTGTGAGTGGCGTTTTACTCGTGTGACTGTGCATGCTGTGTGGTGCAGAATGACATCATCAACAACATCGTCTTATGTGAGTAATAAAGATGCAGAGGAAGTGGACTGCTGGTATTCATGACTTTTCCTCTCTACATCCTTACTGTTGTTCTTCAAGCGTCATGTTTGAGGCTTAAATACAGTCATTAAAACACAGAAAAACAACTATGAGCATAAACTAATTGAGAGTTCCTGTAAGAAGCATGATGAATAATCACATCCTGCTTAAACCAAGGCCTTTAAAAAACCTAAAACTTTAATACCTTTCCAGATGTTTTAACAATGTATAATTAAAAATTAGTCGGTTCTAAAAAAAAAGATCAAAAACAATAATTTAAAGTAAAAAATTACACTCAAAACGATGAACCCCTATGCAGCTTTGAAAAAATCTTGAAAATCTTGGAGCTGGGCATGTCTGAGAGCTTGGGGATTTTTTGCGAGCAACGCAAACAACCTATCACATGAATCTCCCGCCCCCGACATACAAAGCAAAAAACCCCGGGGATTTTATGCGATCAATATACAGTATATAAACTCCCCAAACAGGCGAAAACCTCCCAGTTTCACCCACTGTCTCTGCCACCTCCCTCCATGCCTGGTTCCTCCGGTTTGTATCCCGGTAAGTTATTAGGGGGTGAAAAGTGCTAGCGGCGATTCTAAGGGGCCCCGGTGAAGCTGACGGCGGCCCCATAAGCATTGTTTAGAACATTAGACAGAAGGCAAAGAAAAAAAAATGTCTTTAAGTGAAGGGCATTTCAATCAAGTCGTGCAGGTCTC